TAAAACAAGTCTCAATATATTTTATGGGACTGAAATTATACAGAGTATGTCCTCTGACCACAATGAAATTAAGTTAGAAATCTAACAGAAAGATAACTGGTAAGTAACTAAATGCTTGAAAATTAAGCAATATGCCCCTAAATAAATAATCCAATTCTAATACAGGTACTATAATATACTTTTAAATAAATAACCCATGAGTCAAAATAAATCACAAGGAAAATAATTGTGATCAATATTTTCAATATTAGAAAATACTGTGAATTGAATGAATAGGAAAACATAACATACCAGAAATTTGTATGATACAGCTAAAGAAATGCTTAGAAGTAAATTTATAGCTTCAGATGATTAGAACATTAAAAAAGATGAAAGGTTTAAATACAATGATCTAAGTAGCAACCTTAAAAAGCTAGGAAAATAAGAGCAACTTAAATCCAAAAGAAATACATGAAAGAAAATAAGGAAGATAAAAGTAGAAATCAAAAGTAGAAAACGGACAAATAGAGAAATCAATGAAACCAAAAGCCGTTTCTTTGAGAAAACCAACAAAATTGATAAACCCTTAACTAGACTAATTAAAGTGAGCGAAAACAAAAACGATCAGTATCAGAAATTTAAGACAACAGATCCTACAGAGAATGTTGTGAATCAGTTTACGCCAATAAATTCTAGCTTAGATGACATGGTCAAATTCCATGACATTTGCAAATTATCAAAATAGACACAAGAAGAAATAAAAAACAAAAATAGCTCAATATTTGTTAAGGATATTGACTTTGTAATTTTAAATCTTTCCACAAAGAAAACTTTAAGGCAAGTGGCTTTACTTGTGAATTCTATTAAATCTTAAAAAAAAAAGTAATACCAATCTCATACAGTCTGTCAGAAACAGAGGAGGTTAAGACTTCACAACTAATTTTATGAGTTCAGCATTACCCTGATACAAGAACCAGACAAAAATATTGCAAGAAAACTGCAGACCAATGTCCCTTAACCAAATATTAACAATTTAAATCCAGCAATACATAAAATCAGAAATATACCAAAACCAAGTGAAGTTTTCCCCCAGGAATGCAAGGTTGGCTTAACATTTAAAACCCTGAAAAAGAAAGAAAAAAATATATAATCATCTCAATAGAAGCAACAGCATTTAGTGAAATTCAACACTCAATGTTGTTTTAGAAAATACCTCTCAGCAAACTAGGAATAGAAAGGAACTTCCTTCACCTGAGAAAGGATGTTTACAAAAGATGTAAGTTAACATTATGCTTAATGGTAACAGACTAAAAGCTTTCCCCCTAAGGTTGGGACAAGGCAAGGATGTCTGCTCTCATTGCCTTCATTCAATATTGTACTGGGGCCGACCGAGTGGTGCATTGGTTAAGAGCTGGCTTGGAACACCAGCTCTGTGCAGCAGGGCCCCAGTTCGGATCCCACATGAGGGCCAGTGACACTGCCCTCTACAGCTAAGATGGCGAACAACAGCTCGACCTGGGGCTGGGCTGCTGTGAGTCGCTGATGATGGCGTAGGCTGCAGCCCCTGCTGCAGTGGGCTGCCATAAGCTACCATGTGTGGCTGGCAGCCAGCGTGAGCGGCCGGCAGCCGGTGTGAGCTGCCAAGAGCTGCTGTGAGTGGCCGTCCAGAGGCCAGCGACCTATCTGCCTCACCTGGGAAGAGCGCAATGATACCAACATGGGCCAGTGAAGCAACGTCCTCCACAACTAGACTGAAGAACAAAGGGACAGCAACTTGTCTGTTCCCCTTCCCCAATTCCCCAGTGCTGTTCCCATCCCCCAATTCCGCAATAAAATCTTTAGGAAAAAAATATATATATTGTACTGGAGGTCGTAGCCACTGTAGTAAAACACGAAAAAAAAATAAAAGGCATACAGATGGGAGAGAAATAAGTAAAACAGTCTTTATTCACACACGACATAATCATATAGGTAGAACATATCAAGAAATCCATAAAAATGCTACTAGAAGTAGTAAGCCAACTTAGCATGGTCACAAGATGCAAGGTCACTAAACAAAGAGCAATTGTATTTCTACATTCTAGTAACAAAAAATTGGAAAATGAAATTTTAAAAGTACAATCCCATTCACCATAGTATGAAATACTATGTATGAAATACCTAAATTACTGTGTATGAAAACATGTACACTGAAAACTAAAAAAGCATTGCTGAAAATTTTAAAGATGGCTAAAATAAATGGAGAACTATATCATGTCATTGGAAGATTCAATATTGTCAAGATGTCAGTTTTCTCCGAATTGATATAAACATCCACTCCAATGCCCACCAAAATTCCAGCAGGCTTTTTCTTTTATAGAAAATTATAAGCAGATTGTATATAGATATGTATATGGAAATTCAAAGAGTCAAAGCAATTTTTAAAAGAATGGAGAATTTACCTAATTTCAAGACTTATTATAAAGCTACAATAATGAAGAAATTCTGGTGTTGGTGAAATGACAGACATACCGATTAACTGAATGGAGCAGGGAGTACCAAAATATATCCACCTATACATGGCCAAGTTATTTTCAACAAACATGCCAAGGTACTTTAATGGTTTATAAACGAAGTCTTTCCATCAAATAGCTATCCATATGGATGGAAATGAACATTGACTCTTAACTTACACCATCCTCAAAAATTTAATTTGATCATAGGACTAATTGTAGAAGCTAATACCATAAAACTTCTTGAAGAAAACAGGAAAAAAATCTTTATGATGTTGGGATATGCAAAGATTTTTTTTAAGACACAAAAGGCATAAAGCATAAAGGAAATACTGATAACGTGGATTTTCATTAAATTTAGAGCTTGCTTTTTGAAATATACTAATAAATAAAAAACCAAGCTACAGAATGGGAGAAAAGATTTACAATACATAAAAGTAATAGTATCCAGAATATATTTTTAAAACACTTAGACTTCAATAAGAAAACCAAAAATCCATTTTTAAAAACAGCACAAAGGGCCGGCCGAGTGGCTCAGTTGGTTAAGAGCTTGCTCAAGAGTTTGAGCTCTGAGCAACAGCAGTTCAATTCCCCGCCCAAGCTGAGCTGCCGCTGAGCTGCCAACAGGTAGCAGGATGGCTCAGCTTAAAAAAAAAAAAAAAAAAAAAAAAAAAAAAAAAAAACAGCACAAAGGGTGAACAGACTCTTAATGGAAAGAAAAAGATATGTGAATGATAATTAGGCACATAAAAGATCTTCAACCTCATTAGTCATCAGGAAAATGCAGATTACGTTCACAATGAGGTACCATTACACAGCTATCATTTTTTAAACTGAAAAGACTGATAATACCAAGTGTTGACGAGGATGTGGAGCTAATGTTGGTAGAAATGTACCACCACTCTGGAAAAGCATTTGACAGTTTCTTTTAAAGTTAAATATACACCATCTACCATATGATCCAGCCATTCCATGCTAGGTATTTACCCAAGAGAAAGGAAAGCATGCACTCCCACAATTATTTGGTTTTGAATATTCATAGCAGCTTTATTTATAATATTGGAAACAACCTTTCAAATGTCCTTTAACAAGTGAATGGGCAAACAGATGTGGTAGATCCATACACTCAAATAAGCTGATGTCAGCAATAAAAAGGAATAAACTAGTGGTACGTACCACATGGATGTCTCAAAACATTATGCTAAGAGAAAGACTTCACGTACCAAAAAGTGCATACTATGTGGTTCCATCGACATGAAATTCTGTAATATGAACACCTAATCTGTAGTGACAGAAAGCAGATCAGTGGCTGCCTGGGTTTGGGGATGGTGTTGACTGCAGACACAGGGCTTTCTGGATTGGAGAAAATGTTTTCTGTCTTGATTGGGGTGGTGATTTCATGTGTATATACATTTGCCAAAACTCGTCAAACTAAGATGGTATATTTATTGTATATAAATTAACTTTAATCAAGTTGATTTTAAAAGGTAAAAGTTACAAGAAAAAAAATGAATGGGACACTTATCTGGCTCTACCTGGAGAAAACTAAAAGCAAGGAAAATATTGGTTCCTTAATCGAGGCTTTTTATCTAAGTTTGAATCATGGTGATTGTGATCTTTCTTAATGTTTCTAGCTTGGTCCTGCACTTTTTTTTGTTATTAATAACAGACAACAGCCAGATTAATTGATGATCAATATTACCATGTAACCATCATAACAAATATTAATACCATCTGTCTGAATTTAAGCACTTGTCTGAAGATTTTTTTGTCACACCCTTGCTTTTTATTAGTCTTCTCAGCCATAATTTGAACAAGGTTTTGATACACCCACCTATTGCTAACTTCAGTGTAGCACTGAACCATTGTGAAATCCACCCCACCCCCTCTGAGTTATAATCATGAGTTGAGGTGGCTTCATGTTGATTTCAGTTCCCATTCTGTGTCTTCCACTATTAGGCAAAGGCTCTGGTTAACACATTTCATTTATTAAACAAGCACAGGCCTTAGTTAACACCACTTCAGACCCCAGAGTTCTCACTGACCAGGTGTGTAATTGGAAACATGAGCAAAATTGAAATTACACAATTTCTCATGCTGTAAAAGACCTGGAACTATTAATTTCATGTGCTTTCTAAGAAAGTAAAAGTTTTGGTTCTTTTTTGAGAGGGTTCCTTTTTCATAACCTTCTAAAAGAAAGACTACCATGGTTTAAGTATTTCAAGGAATTAGGAAATCATGAGATGTATACAAGGCATGTGTATGAAAGATGTTCTGAATGGCATTATTTTAAATAGCAAAAAAGTATAAGCAATCTATGTGTCCTAAAGGAGAGGGCTGATTTTTTAAAAAGCATTGTGTGATGGGAGTCTTTTACTTTTTATATTCATTTTTCAATTACAGTTAACACAATTAGTTTCAGGTGTGCAACGTAGTGATTAAACATTTATATACCTTATGAAGTGATCATCCCAATAAGTACTTACCTGACACCATACATAGTTATTGACTATATTTCCTATGGTGTACTTTACATCACTATTTTTATAACTGACAGTTTGTACTTCTTAATTGTATGACAGGAGTCTTGCTTCTTTTTCCTGCTTGTTAGCATATATTTCACTTTAAAGCTTACTAGTTTCTATTTTTCTGACGTGTTATTCATTAATATTAGTATTAATTATCAGCCATGATTCACTTGTCTTTTGCATCATTAATGGACCAGCTTCACCATTGGGAGCACTCTCAGGTTGGCTCCTGTGTCCTAATGACAAGCCCATCCTTGTTTTCTAAGCCTGTCCTTACTTTCTGGCTCCACAAGATGCTCCAGGCTCACCCTGTATTTTCTCTGCCCAGCCTTGGAGCCTGGCTTCATTTATTGGAGAACAGTATTTACAATAGAATCCATGATCTGGATCACTGCTGATTCTCGACCGTCTCAGGAGACAAGTGTGTCTCTAACCCGGGTACACACACAGAGCTCTATTTCCGCAACTATTGAGAGAGAGAGAGAGAGAGAGAGAGAGAGACTGTATCACAGAATTCATTCTCACCTTCCCCTTTTCCTTATTTATAACTTCTTCTATAGTGAAAAACCTGCAAATTATCATTGTCTGCAAAATATCTACTTATTTGTTCAACATTGGTAAATACTAGAAAAAAAAATACTAGAAAAAAAAAAGTAGTTTCAGAACTACCCCCATAAGAACAATTTACAAACTACAGGACAGTGTCCATACAGCTCTGTCTTTGGCCTCACAGTACCCAGTTGAAACACAGTGATTTGGGGTAGTTCCCTTCTTTCTGATATCTTTCAATATGGTTATATAATCTGTTCCTCTACAATTATCTTTTTCACAAACTACATTCCACCTGGTGTTGGTGGAGACTATGGATACCCTGAACCACCAGAAAGAGGAACAAGTGGGTCCTAGAGCAAATTAAGCCTGAAACATTGCTGGAGGCAAAAATGACAAAACTGAAGCTGTCCTACTTCAGCACATCATGAGAAGGCAGGGTTCTTTGGGAAAAACAATAATGCTGGGAAAATAGAAGGCAGCAGGAAAAGACGAAGACCAAATCTGAGATGGATTGACTCCATAAAAGAAGCCACAGTCACAGGAGCTGGGCAGTTGAGGACAGGACATTTGGAATAGCGCTCACTCATATGGTTGCCAGGAGTCAGAGCCAACTCAACGGCATGTAACTACATTCTATTTTGGATCCACCCCTACCACCTACATCCTGATTATTTATGTATTTATTTATTTATTTTTAAAGATTTTTATTGGGGAATTGGGGTAGGGGAACAGCATTGCGGAATCGGGGAAGGGGAACAGACAAGTTGCTGTCCTTTTGTTCTTCAGTCTAGTTGTGGAGGACGTTGTTTCACTGGTCCATGTAGGTATTATCATTGCGCTCTTCCCGGGTGAGGCAGTCGCTAGCCGGCCATTGGACAGACGCTCAAGGCAGCTCATGAAAGCTCACACCCGCTGCTGGCCAGCCCCACTGCAGCTTACGCCGTCGCCAGCGACTCACGGCAGCCCAACTCCAGGTCAAGCTGTTGTTCACCATCTTAGCTGTAGAGGGCGCAGCATCACTGGCCCTCATGTGGGATCTGAACCGGGACCCTGCTGCTCAGAGAGGCCGTCCCAAGCCAACTCTTAACCAATGCGCCACTCGGCCAGCCTGATTATTTTTAAACATACAATAAAATTCCATCTTTTTGGTGTACATTTCTATGGGTTTGACAAATATTCCGAGTGCTATATCCACCACGGTTCCTTAAAGAAAAGCTCATTCACCCAAAAGCTCCCTCATGCGGCCCCTTGCAGTCAACCCCTCCCACCCAACCCAGCAATCCCCATTTTTCAGAATGTCATATACATGGGCTCACACATGTTGCATTTTGGGGCCGGCTTTCTTTACTTCACTAAATGTATTTAGGATTCATCCATGTTGTTGCATAAATCAGTACTGCGTTCTCTTTTACTGAGTATGTTCCATTGTTTGGATGGACCACAGTTTAGTTAGCCATTCATTCACCAGATTTCATCTGAGTTGTTTTCACTTTTGGGTGATTTATGAATAAAGCTGCTATAAACATCATGTGCAGGTTTTTATGTGAACATGTTTCCATTTCTCTTGGCTGAATATTTATTTTTAAATATAAGTTGATTACAAAGATCATATGAAAAAATAAACAAGCAAGAATAATTATAAAAGCCCTGGAAAAGAAAAGTGAGGGAGCTGGCCTTACAGACAAAGCATCAATAAGTTTAAAAGTATGGTGACGGACCAGAATAGAAAATCGTAAAATTGTCTCAAATTTAGTATAAGGTAAGGGTGAAATCTCCAATCAGTGGGCAAAAGGTGAGCTTTTTACTAAGTGGTATTAGGATAACTGAAGTCCTATATGGAAAAAGAGTAAATGGGACCCATTCTTTGCATTACTCGTTAGGATAATGAATCACAGATACTATAAATGTAAAAAACAAAACTATACATGTACTGGAAGAAAAGATAGATGGACTCCTTATAACCTAGAACTAGAAAGAACTGTCCTACCTATGACTCTAAATCTAAAAGCTAACAGGGAAAAGTGATAGATTCAACCATGTTCAAACAAAAAACTTTTGCTAAACAGGAACACACCAGTAAGTAAAATGTCACGATAATTTAATTTAAAAATCACAGGGCCGGCTGAGTGGCACATTGGTTAAGAGCTGGCTTGGGATGCCAGGGGGCTCTGGTTCAGATCCCACATATGAAGGCCAGTGACACTGCCCTCCACAGCTAAGATGCTGAACAACAGCTCAACCTGGAGCTGGGCTGCCGTGAGTCGCCGGCAACGGCGTAGGCTGCAACCCCTGCTGCAACCCCTCTTGCCATGGGCTACCGTGTGTAGCCAGCAGCCAGCATGAGCGGCCGTCCAGCCGGCGACTGATCTGCCTCACCAGGGAAGAGCGCAATGATGGTGCCAACTTGGGCCAGTGAAGCAACGTCCTCCACACGAGACTGAAGAACAAAAGGACAGCAACTTGTCTGTTCCCTGTCCCCCCAATTTCCCAGCGCTGTTCCAATTCCCCAATAAAAAAGAAAAATCTTTAAAAAATAATAATAATAATAAATAAAAATCACATACCGACTTTAAAAATGTGAATTACAAATATCTCTATAATCCAATAGAAAAATGGGCACAAAATGCAGGTAATTTGCTGAAAACATAATGCAAAGTCTTTAAACATTAAAATATGTTCAGCCTCACTCATAAGGGAAATGCAAATTAAAACTACAGGGGTTTAATGTCTTACCTATCAGATTGGCCACAATCTAAAAGCATGACAACACTCAGGCTGTGGGAAAACAGGTACTCTGGTGCATGCACTGTTGGTGGGCATGCAACAGGTGACAGCCCACACAGAGAGAAATATCACAAAGTCACATATACCTAGGTCTGCACTACCAAAGACAGCACAATTTTAACTTCAAAATCATAGTAACTACAAAATATTTAAGACATATCAACTATATAAAAACTCACAGTAATGTAACACTTAAAAAATGTTATGGTTCAATTTTTGTAATTAATAAAGTTTATTTAGAGAAGTTTTAGGTCCACAGCAAAATTGAGAAGCAAGTAGAGAGTTCCCATGCCCCCTTCCCCCATATACTCACAGTCAACACCATACCAACATCTCCTACCAGAGTGGGATACTCATAAAAAATACACTGACTGACACATTATCATTACCCAGAGTCCATAGTTTACATTAGGGTTCACTCTTGGTGTTGTGGTTCACTTTTGAAGTTGCTTGGGCACCAAGTCACTCTGAAAACATAAAAATAAAAGAATCATGAATCAGCACTTATCCTGCCTTTCCTGTACGTTTTGTATCTTGGAGTAACCAGTGGGTCGATGATAGAAAATTCTTCCTTACAAGCCTGTTCCAGCCAATAAATGCAAATGGAATGACAGAATTAAAAATCACCAATTTGTCATCCCATACTAAAATCATGGATCTACTGAGCAACCATCAATGTATACTAAAGCCACTAGGTTAAAGGTCGACGGGAAACTTTGTAAAGGATGGGGCCAGCTGAAGTGGGCCAACCAGATAATAAATGCTTCCTCATGCAATGTAATCAGAAGGATACAGCAGAGCCTTAAATGCACTTATAAATAAGCCGAGGATCTTGTTGAAATGCAGGTTCTGATTCAGTGGGTTTGGGGTGGGCCCTGAGATTCTATTTCTAACAAACTCCCAGGCGAAGCCAATGCTGTAGTCAGATAGTTCACGCTGAGTGGTGAGGGTCTAGTACTACTTATGCAGTATCTTACCTTGGGGAAATGAGCCTGATCTAATCAAGCCTCTAGATCAAACTACCAGTTTACTGGAATAGAGGAAAAGATGACTATTCAAGGAACCAATCAAGTCAGTCCAAAATGTGGGGTATCCTATAGGACAAGTGATCCAGTTTCCCCAACAAATAAGTGTTATGTAAAAGGGGGAGAAGACTTGAGACATATCATCAAAGGCAATGTGCAGACCTCATTGGATCCGATTTGATCAAACCAGCTCTAAAAAGATGTTTTTGAGATAATTGGGGAATGTGTACATAGCCTGGAAATTAGCTACTAAGGAATCATTAGGTTTTGCATATACATTACATAAGATAATGGCATTGTTGTTATGTAAAAAAAGTACCTTACATGAAAAATATGAGGTCTGAGGTTTGTTTTATAAGATTCAAGCAAAAAAACAAAGGAAAACACAAATGATGAGGGGAGGATAAATCATATAATAAATGGATACAAGAGGATTCGTTGTATTATTTTATTTTTATTTGCAATTTTCTTTAAAAATGTTTTATAAAACAAATTTCAAATAAAAAATTACAGCACTATTCAACATTACCATTTTTGCTCGATTGTCAAGAAAAATTGTAACTTAGAGCAAAAATGAGGAAAAAAGGCACAGACTGCTTGCTAGCTTGCTCATCTCAATTGCACCTCCTCTTAACCATTATTTTATCTAATTCAGATACTGAGCCAATATCTAAGCTACCAGACCCTTTAGTGGCACAAGCCTTCAGAGAAAGAAACATGCATTGCCAGCGTTGGAGCTTTACAGTTATTTCGGATACAAAAAGGCCCTTGCCTTTAAATTTTGAACGTGTTACTGTTCATTATTACCAAAGCAATGGCCTAAGTTTTATTCCTCAACTCTGCTAAGTAACTCAGAAGCAAACCTCTCTATTGCTTATTGACCTCATTGTTAAAAAAATAAGTAAAACCCTCCCCAAAAGAATTCAGAAGACATGAAGCCATTCATTGTGTTTAGTTTTCTATGTATTCCCTTCAATCAGAAACAGATCAGACCCAGCCCACCATATCAAAGACTCAACAAAAAAGAAAACCAACCAAATAGTAAAAATTTACCATATTATTTTATCATACTCCACTTCACATAATGTTGCGTCACAGAATTTTTGCTCAGTCTTTCATTTTCAGTTTTTTATACCCTGTTTTATTGCTGACACAAACTACTTGTAGTCTTTAATGAGGTTATAACATTAAAAAGAGAGGATTGTAAACAAAGCATATATTATTAGGCAAGGACTCCTAAGTCGTACACAGTAGAAATGGGTTCTGACTGATCTAAGCAGAAGAATAACGTGCTGAAAATGATATAGGATCCTGGTGTGTTCTCGGGATCATGAGCTCGCAGTCGCCAAAGAATGGGAACATGGATAGGAGAGGCAAGGTTTAAGCAGTGCAGTTTTGTTGTAAAGCATAAGAGAACAGCTCTCCAAAGAGAGGGGGGATCTGAAAGCAGAATGCCCCTGAGCTGGGAACTATTAATGTCTCAGAGTCAGAGCTGATTGGTCTCCTGCACCTGGGCAGTTAATCTTGGCAGGCTCTGCAGTTTGAAATCGTTTGTTAGCTATTTTAAAGTTATTTTCTTTGGCTTTGGTTATGGTCTCAGCCTTAATCCTCTCCACCGTGGCCATGTCCCTAACCGCCTATGGTTTTTCTATCTCAAAAAGACTTCGAATTTCCAAAAAGGATGCAGAACAATGCTAGGGAAACAGCAGGTTCACAAAGCAGCAGCAACGACCACTGTTAAAAACACATTACAAACCCTAACTAGTGAAGACCCAGGAAATGCCAAAAATTCCCTTTTGCTAAGACTTCAGCCACTGTTGCCACCAAACATCAGATTCTCCGAGGTGTAGCTTCTTGGCAAACACTAGCTCCTGATTCAGTCTAACAGGCTGAACTGGCCAAGTTCAGACCTACCTGCTAGGAAGGCTGGGAAAATGACCATTTGGTTTTTTTCCATTTCTACTGGGGACTCTGTCTACCACCCATAATCACAAAGGGGGAAATTCTCCCAGCATAGGAAGGGGCTTCATCAGAAAGCACAATTAACAGGTCTCTTTGTTTCTATACTCAAGACTATTGTGTAGTTTCTCATCATCAGAATGTTCAGCAGAAAATGAAAATATTTTCCAATTTCTCCAACTACATCTGAACTTAACACTCTACTTCATAGGGACAATCAGGGCTCAGTTAACCTTTTCACATATTGGACCAGTACATGTGAAATTATTGTTGATAAAGTACTTCACAGTATAAACAGACCCCAGATTCAATACTGTCTCTTTTCTAGTGGACTTCAATAGGATAGCACTTCACCTACGTGCAAGTCTACTGTTTACTCTCCCCCCATCTGGAACAGCAATGAACAAAAAAAATCCCAAAAGATCCTTGAAAACCTAAAACACATGTCAGCAAATCTACTCTTAAGATTTCTGACCCACACAACAGAACAAAGCTCAACAAGTCTTGGCTCTCTCTCAGAGCCCATTTGCTCCTATTTTGCTTGCAGTCCTATTCAGCTTCATGCCTTTCTCCAGTTGATTATATTTGATTACATGTTAAAAGCTGGAGGGAAAAGGAGGGAAACTGGACAGGAGGAATTAACAAGGAAGACGACAAAAATCTACAAAACACAAATAAATAGAAGAACAAAGAAAAAAGCCACAATATTCAGTAGCATCAGAGGTTGTAACTAACAAGCCTGAAGTAGCTCAAGCCTGAAGTGGCTCAAGCCACGTTTCCTGAGAAGGTGGGATTTGAAACGTCTAAACCAGCGGTTCTCAACCTTCCTAATGCCGCGACCCCTTAATACAGTTCCCCATGTTGTGGTGACCCCCAACCATAACATTATTTTCGTTGCTACTCTACAACTGTAATTTTGCTACTGTTATGAATCGTAATGTAAGTATCTTTTTGTTTTCCGATGGTCTTAGGCGACCCGTGTGAAAGGGTCATTCGACCCCCAAAGGGGTCGCGACCCACAGGTTGAGAACCGCTGGGAAGCTGAGAAGCAACAGGATCAGTAAGAAGAGAGAGGCAAGGATGGGAGCAGCCGAGGTAAAGGGTGAATATGGCTGAGCGCGTCTCGCAGCAGGAGAAAAGAGAACAACAGCCCAGAGAGCCTCCAGGCAAACCAGGGAAAGTGACCTTACCCTCGGGCAATAGGAAGTGAGTGAGAGGTACTCTAGGAAAGTTCTAGAAGCTGACTGCGCTTTCCTTTTCTCTGGTATGGGTTATACAGAATTGGCAAGCCTTCCTAAACTTTTTTGATAAATGCCACCACCCCCATTCCCATACATCCTTTAGGAGGGTATCCCAGCTGGGAATCACTGTAACCTCTCAACTCCCTCCAACCAAGATTTTGTCCAGCTTCCAATTCTGTACCGTGTTGTTTAAAAATAGATTAGATTTCAAACATGATCTGTAATCTTTAATATGCGTGTTCGAACATCTGTCTGCTTCCTAACCCTCAATCCATGCTCTTTGAGAATGGACTAGACGACCCCCAAAGTTAAAAACGCCAGGATATCGAGTATTAATTCCACACACACACACAAGATGTGTCTTAGTATTAAGGTCCTTGTGGAAATCCTTCTCTCGGGTGGAACTAGTCACCTCCCGACCCCATTACACTATTACAAGCAGTGAGTGTCCCCACTGCGCCGGCACTTTGGCCCGAGGCCCCCCGGCAGGAAGCTACACTCGTCTTTTCCTTCCGCTGCCGCTCCCTTGGCTACTAAGGGACAACACTTCCCACGTGCCCGGAAGAACAAGTCCCTTTTCGCCCAACCCCAGGCCGCACGGCCTCCCCTCCTCCCTCTCCTCACCTGCAACTTCCGTGGCACCTCCTCCTCTGCCCCGAGCCACCGCCCACTTCCCACCTCCCAGGGACCAAGCCTGGGTTACGGGAGCCAGACTCCAGTCACGGGACACTGCGGTCACGTGCTGTGGGGGTCACGTGCAAAGCGAGCACTGTGCGCGGGGAGAACCCCGCACTCGCGCACTCTCGCGAGATTCTCGCTGTCACATGACAGCGCGGGCGTGGCGCGACCTCACGTGACGGGCGCAGCCGGCCGCTCTGGTCTCCTTCCTAAAGCGGGCGCTGCAGCAGCTGGGCCTCTCGACCGCGGGACACGCTTATCTCACGCCGGCCCCCCAGGCGGTCCCCCAGCGCCCGCCCTCCCGCGGCCCAACCGCCGGACCCTGCCCTGCTCCCGCTCCGGCGGCCCTCGTGCCCATGGCGGTCCCCGGCGGCGCCCGGAGGCAGCCGCTGCTCCTGCTACTACTCGGTGAGAAGCAGGGCCGGAACGGGGGGGCCGCGGGCAGGGGGCGACTACAAGGGTCTGGAGGGTTGCATGGTAGGCTTGGAGGGATGAGGGGTCCGGGGTACTGCGGAATGGGGGGCTGTAGGGAGGGTGTCCTGAGGGATGGGGGGACTACACGGGGTCCGGAAACTGCGGGCTGGGCCCGCGGGTGGCGGGCCCGCGAGTCGTCCCCGCAGCGGCCGGGACCCGGCGTGGAGTCTCCTGGCCGCTGTTTGGGGTGTCAGTTCCAGTTTCCCTGAGGTAGACTAGGGTCGAGGTCTCAGCCGAGGGCCTGATCCGCCCTCGGACCACTAAACTCCTTTTCTGAGATGTTCAGTTGGAAATGACTTGGGTGGCTTGGTGGTTTCTGGAATACTGTGCTTTGTTTCTTTAACTTACGGGCAAGGTTAGCCACGGAGGTCCAGGTGAGGCTGTGAGGCCCGGAACCCCAGGGACCCTGCGCGGCCCCTCGGTGCTCCCAGTGGGTGACCCACATGGAGCTCCATCTTAACCACAAGCGACTAGGGTGGCGTCTTTTAGAGTTCGTCCTTAGTGCTTTAACCTTCGTCCTTTTCTCAGTATGGCATGTAGTCCTTGTGTGTGTGTTCATGTTACTGTGAATTTAACTTTGTGTTGGGGTAACTTCAAGTTATCTTTAGGAGTTTAGGAGAGCCCATAGTGGACAAAATGAGAGGTGGGGCTAGGCCTCGGTCTCTCAAAGGCAGTGTTCATTTCTAGTGAATCCTTGTAACGAGCAGCTGCCACTGTCCTGTGTGTGCTGGTTACTGTGAGTCAAAATGAGGGACTCCATTAACGCATTGGAGAGCGTCTGGCACTCCCATCAGTCTGTACAATTCATAGAAGCAGTCAGTGGGTGCTCAGTATTTTATTGATTGAGGAATTTTGTTTTCATTCATCAGTCCTAATAAGAGAGGAATATGGGTTATCTCTTAAATGAGAATCACTACATGGTTTGATTTCAAGCCTGTCTAGAGGCCCTCTGTCTATGACACTTTTTCTCACCCTTCTCCCAATTAACATGGGAAGATTTATTTAAGTGGTGGGACTTGAACTAGCTGGTGGGAGTTCAGGTGACTTAAATAGATACACACATTCCCATGGATCTTGCCCTTGGATTCTTTAAATATCTCTTTAAGTCTCATCCTATTCTAAAATTCTGTTATTGTGACTGAATGAATTTTGGTTTCATGTTTTTGGTTTGCCTGTAGTGTAAACTTAGTTCTTTGCGCTGCATGAATAGCCACAAGGGATGACCTTATTCCAGCAGTAAAACTGAAGCCTTGCCCTTCACTGGCAGGTGTAATTAGTTACAGGAGGAGTTGCTGGAACAAGTTTTGTCATGTTAGAACGATTGCATTGTTCTTTATTAAAAGAGCTCACAAGCATAAGGACTTTGATATTTTGTTTCAAGTTTTAAAAATCCATCTTAAAAATGAAGAGAAATATCCATAACTTCCCTACGTAGTATAGCTTGGAGTATCGTGTATGTAATTAGCTTTTTAATACCTATCGCATTTATATTCAATTAAAATTCAACTTTTAGGAAAGGTCTGTTAACTTGGATTTAGGTCTATTTAAAGTAATGTTTATTTTAATGCACAGTTTCACAAAAGGTATTGTCTAAAAATATTCCAAACTTCTAAATTACTAATTCCTCCTGCATTAATGGATTAGAAATTACTTAAACCTTTTTTGTGTGTTTCAATACTTGGTAGAAAGCATAGAATCATGAACTGAAACTTTTTGATATATAAGATTGTTTGATTATGTAGTGTGACTCTTGAAACTATTGGTGTCAACTAGATGACTTCCTTTCCCTTTCTAAATGAGGAACTAGCACTTAGGAAATTTGGAAAGTTTTATGTTACTAATATAACCCTTGATTGTGGGAGTTTGTCAGTTACCCAGGTTGGCAACCAAATTCTTCAGTAGATTTGAGGTCAAAATGTTTTGGATCCATAGTTTTGAATTTATATTGTTAGACCCATCCCAGACAGTATTAGTCCTCCCTTCTCTCTGCGTCCACAGAACTTGACTCCATGTGTGTACAGCATGTGCTTCAGCTGATTTGTGATTATTTTTACACATATCATCTCCCTTGCCCATCTTACAGCTCACCGCGTGCCTCACACATAGTAAGTGCTCATTACATACATGTGGAGACATCCAGTTTTACGGCAGTGGTCCCTAACCAAACATGCATAAGTCGACATTGTAGAAATGTATGTACTCTGGCCCTTCCTCTAGAGGTTGTGGTTCAGTGTCTGAGATGGAACCTTGGTCTTTTTTCTTTGTCCTTTAAATCTGAATAGATGATTATGTTTCACTGGTTAAGAAAAAGAAGATACTGGATTTAAAAGAATTAAGTTGACAAACTAGGAAGTAATTTTTAAAATTTTAATAAATTTATTGATTTGTTCCTTCAAAAGTAAGTGTTTCATAATTTGTAGGATAATTACCTGCTCACTGAGTGCTAGAGGGAAAGCATGGTTTAGATGTGGCACTCACCCTATAGCTAGCTAACGCGGGTAGGTACATGCCCTGAGTCAGCAGAACGGTTCAGGATCTCTCTGCATCATTCACTAGCTGTGTAACTTTGAGCAAGTTAGCTAATATTTCTGTGCCTTAGTCTCCACATCTGTAAAGGAGAATCATAATAATGTCTGCCGATTAAGATTGCCCTGATAATTTAATTAACTGCAAAGTGCTTGGAGTGGTACCTGGCACATAGCAATTGCATTACAAGTGCTTGTTAAATACTTATTTGACATTTTGTGTCAGGTACAGAATATTTGATGAACTTGATGGATGAGGTCTGTATAGCACTGAGTGTTTAAATAATAACTGGTAACATTAAAATCGGTACTAAATGCTCTGCATGCATTGGCTCGGGTTCCTAAACCCAGGGTTTGTCAGTTGCTGCTGGCCCAAGGTCACACAGCTAGTAAGTGGTGGGGGAGTCTATCAATAGAACTAGGATCTCTTACTCAGAAACAGGCGTGCTTCCCAGAGCTGCACTTGTTTTAGAGAAAGGAATCTACAAGTAGGAGTATTCTGAAGGAATATACCAAAGTTACTCCTTTATATGTTCCCTGGAGAAATGATGAAGTTCGCATCTGAGTGAAGGACTGCTAGAGATCAGCCGTTGCCAGTAGGCCAGGGCCCTGACTGTTAAGAGGGACACCCCTCAAATAACCACACACATTTTTACTAACTTGAGAAGGTTTTTCTTTTTTTAACCAACTGCTACTGTTAACAGAATTTTAAAAAATAATAATAACTTCTGGCCATTGGCTTACATGCATGTCTCAGAATTTTATGTCTTTGTTTTTTTAAGATTTTGGGGGGGGAATTGGGGGAAGGGGAACAGACAAGTTGCTGTCATTTTTTTTGCTCTTCAATCTAGTTGTGGAGGACATTGCTTCACTGGCCCAAGTTGGCATCATCATTGCGCTCTTCCCGGGTGAGGCAGGTCAGTCGCCGGCTTCTGGACGGCCGCTCACTGCGGCTGCTGGCAGCTCACGCTGGCTGCTGGCTACACACGGTAGCCTGTGGCAACCCACTGCAGCAGGGTCTGCAGCCCATACCATCGCCGGCGACTCACGGGCAGCCCAGCTCCAGGTTGAGCTGTTGTTCAGCATCTTAGCTGTGGAGGGCAGTGTCACTGTCCCTCATATGTGGGATCCAAACCGGGCCCTCTGGCATCCCAAGCCAGTTTTTAACCATCGCGCCACTCGGCCGGCCCCAGAATTTTATGTTCTAATGGTCTTGTAGACATTTTTCTTTTTGCTTCTGGAGTAAGTTTCTTGTTTTAATAATTGAACATTTCTGGCGCTGCCCACAATGGATGTGAGCATATAGTGTTGCTAAAGCATATTTTGTTTTAGTAATACTTCCTTGTTTTTTTTTTGAAAGCTCAGACCCTGAACATATTTGCTAAATGAAAAAATTGTATGGTCGAAAGTTACTTAATGTGAAATGTTTCTTAATGAAGTGCTTTGAGTCAGTAGAATGTTTTTTTAATGATTCAGGGAACTATTTTATAGAAGGGTAACTTGGTGAGAACTGACCTGTGCGTGCTCCCATGGGAGGCAATGACCTGCTGTGCCCATGGCACACATCATCTCATGTGACTGTCCCTCCGGCAACCGAACCTATGCACAGGACAGGCAGTGGCCCACCCACACAGTAAGCTGGGTCAGTGTCCAGTGTTTCTCTGGCTTCTGCGCCCATGCTTTAACACACACTTTTGCTTCTGCCTGCCCACCCTCCTTTTGTCTCTGGTACCCTTACCCATCCTGCTCAAAAGGTATGTGTGTTTAAAAACCTTTACTGTGTAAAAAACAAGTTATGGAATAATTTTTTCTAGGTTTTTTTAAGCAGACTATTCGTTCATTGGAAATGCTTTTAGTGTAATATTGCCCAAGTGTTCCAGTGGTGGGTTAAAAATTTGCAAAGCCAAACAGACCAAAAAATTGCATGGGTTTGCTTATTTGCCATATTTGCTTTATTTTCATGTAGCAACTTTTCTTTATAAATATAGATTTTGGTATTTCCTTTACCAGAGGCTTATAGAAAGACAATGTGGGGTTTCTGGTTATACTCTTTGCTTTAGGGTTGAATAGTTTAGGCTTGAATTGTTGGCTCTCAGGATTTTATTTTGTGAAAATCCCAAGGGTAAAATGAACTGGTTTCATTGGAAACATTTACTTTGCCAGGGACAAAGGTTTTAGAATGAAAAGTATATTGAGTGTCCTCTTGAGTGTGCTGCCTTCAAAGTGTGCCTGAGTCATATTTATACTTAGAGTGATCAGAGCCAGGTGTGGAAATGGTGAAAGGGCATGTAGGAGCTTGTAGCAGTAGACAAGTGAGAGCACATCACTTCTGAACATTACAGTACACAGTGGTGGCTAATAGCTGTTTGGCTTTAGAAATAGTGAAAACGCCTAGTTTTGCTTGTCTATGAAAGAACAATGTACTAAAATGTATGGTTTGTGAAATTACCTACTTCTCTACCACAGTGATCAGATTGCATTTGTTACTAAACTATTTGATCAGGGCAGTGGGATATGAAGAATCCAGAAATGGCACTGGCCCTGAGAACTTAACTACAGAGGAAATATTTAGCTGTGACTGCTCTCAAGCTAGGAAGGCCCATGAGAGCTTCACTTTGTCCCTTACCCATGGGATATGACAGCCGTACTTAAGACATGTTGACTGATATTCTAAGGTCACACAGCCAAGTCCAAGTTCAGCTGAATCACTGTTTTTTGAGGACCTTTCTGAAATTGAGCAAAAAGCTTAGATCTTTTGAGTCCATGGCTATTCTTGCCACACCATCAGTCCATGAGAGGTTAAAAACAGATCTAACTAGCAATTTAGGTCCACAGTGAAAGATACCACCAGCTCTCCCATGGATTTCTATTGAAGGTCAATATTTAGGTTGAGTTGTGCCTCCACGACCCCACCAAATCTCCCAGAGATGCCCTGAGGAAAAAGTGTGAAGCAACCTATGCCCAGGGGTGACCCAGAAATTGACATGTGACTTCTCGATAAGTATTCTGAAGTAAAGCACTAAAGAGCTGTTGATCAGGTTGGCAAACTGATCAGATGGGTTTAGAGATAACATTTTTCAGAATTGTATCCAGGAAGGACTGAAGACCAGCTGACCTCAGCCTGTGTAACCCGTGTGTCTAGTTCTTAAGTGGTTTAAGAAAGAAACACAGTAGAATCCCCTAATTATTGCTACATTTGTAGACAACAGAAATACCCAGTTGTATTTTCAAAAAGATATCTGATAATTTTTGTTTTTCCTTGAGTTAGCAGGGCTTGTGCACAGTGCATCAGCAGAGTTTACGGTGAAAGATGGCAATGGGACAATTTGTATAATGGCCAACTTCTCCGCTCACTTCCTGGCCAATTATAACACCAAGAGTGGTTTTAAGGTAGGAAACACCAAGGTACTTCATGTGTGTGGGTGTGTGTGTGTGTGATTAAAAAATGATCTATTGTACTGTAGCACAGTTCTGTGTGTGCATATTTCCTTCTCAGCTCATCAGTAACCTATGCTGTTTTATATACTGAAGCTGCAGTCATAACATACAAACCATTTTGTGCTCTGCTTTCACTATTTTATTATGAGCGTTTTTCCAGTTTTCTTTGTGATTTATTTATCTTTTACAATCACAATGTAATACTTCATTATGTTAAGCAACCTAATTTTTAAATCATCCCTCCCTCTATTGGTAAAGGTTTTTAAAATTTTTTCTTCATGCCTGGTGTACAGCTCTGTGACTATAGCTTCTTTGATTTGTTGAATTTGCTTTAGATAAACTATTCTCCAAGAATTGTATATACAGATGCTTGTTGTGCAGTGCTGTAAACACTGTACTAGTTTGATTAAAATGCCTTAGTAATTTTGTTAAAACAACCTAGTACTTCTACAGGATGAGTAAGGCTTTTTGCATTTCCTATATTTCTAACAAATAAGCAGCATTTGTTTGTGTGTCTTCCTTCATCAGTTGCCTACTAATGGGCATTTCATTTGTTCTATTTAAAATTTACTCTTTAAGTACATCCCTAAGCATAATTTTATTTTCAGTTCTTTTTTGAAACCACCATTTTTTCCTTACCTCCGTGTAGACAGCACCATTATCTTTTCATTACCACTCAAAGGACACCAGGATTGCTGGGTAGATCAGCAGTTCCTTTAGAGCACTCTGGACTTTGTGCCAGCTGCTGGAGCCTCATTAATTCATTTGTACTAGTCTAGAGACAAATGTGGGCTCTGTCAAAATGGAAGAAAACTGGGAAGGTTTTGTTCCATAGAAATGTCTCAAATTCTAAAGACTTGTCCAAGCAAGTTTTATTTTATTTTCTACTTCATTTTTTTGGGGTTTGGATTTTTAAAATATCATTTTGGTATATATTATGTTGCTCAAATGAGGTCATCTATGTGCTGTTATGTGCCTTATTTCACAAATCATGTCTGTCTCCTCATGTAGTTTTGTCTTTTTTTTTTTTTAGGACAGCATTACCATACAGTTTAACCATAGTTAAGTCAGTACAGTTCATTTTGATGGCATTACGTGGTTTTCTAGTTGTTTTGCACATAATAGTAAATTCAAATAATTTGTGTAAACACCTTTTTGTTTACAAAGATGCATGTTCATTAAAAAAACATTTCTAGGGCCGGCCGAGTGGCGCGATGGTTAAGAACTGGCTTGGGATGCCAGAGGGCCTCGGTTTGGATCCCACATAGGAGGACCGGTGACACTGCCCTCCACAGCTAAGATGCTGAACAACAGCTCAACCTAGAGCTGGGCTTCCGTGAGTCGCCGGCGACGGCGTAGGCTGCAGCCCCTGTGGCAGTGGGTTGCCATGGGCTACCGTGTGTAGCCAGCAGCCAGCGTGAGCGGCCAGCAGCCGCAGTGAGCGGCGTCCAGAAGCCGGCGACTGATCTGCCTCGCCCAGGAAGAGCGCAATGATGGTGCCAACTTGGGCCAGTGAAGCAACGTCCTCCACAACTAGACTGAAGAACAAAACGACAGCAACTTGTCTGTTCCCCTTCCCCAATACCCCAGCGCTGTTCCCATCCCCCCAACTCCCCAGTAAAAATCTTTTAAAAAAACAAAAACAAAAAACATTTCTATAGCAAACAAGTAGTAATAGCTTTTTTCAAATATAAATACACAGTTCATCCTAAAGCCCAAGATGAATTATTTCAGTTTACCAAGATAAGTTTAGTTTTAATTCTGTTGTAAATTAAAATGATATTAATGAAGAATCTTTAATTATATAAATAATGAAGTCAACTTTGTCTTACACTTGAATTACTGTTTGATGTGTTACTGGTATGTAATACTGACTTTCTTTGTGTTCTTCTTTATATTAACAAATGAATGCCTTAACAGTGATATCTGAGATGGAAATGAGGTCTAAATTTCTATCATACTTACAGAAAAGATCTTTATTGGGTGTTTCTAAATATCTTTAATAGCCTACATTCTAATTGGGTTCTATTCTCTTTGTATTTGTTCTAGAATGCAACCTTTGACCTGCCATCTCATGCAAAAGTATTAAATAGCAGTTTCTGTGGTAAAGAGAATGCTTCTGACTCCAGTCTCGTGATTGCTTTTGGAAAAGGACATACACTGACCCTCACTTTCACAAGAAATGCAACACGTTACAGTGTCCATAGGATGAGTTTTGTTTATAACTTGTCAGACACAGATTTTTTCCACAATGCAAGCACCAATGGTAAGAACAAAAATCGACCAATTATGAAGTGAAGTGAAGGAAATTGGGTTGGGGGAGTATCTAAAATTACTTTTAACTAAGTACTTCAAGTAGTTAAAAATCATTATTTTTTTAGGTACAGAAGTCAAGACTGAGGCATCCCCAACTGACATCATGGCAGACATAAATAAAAAATACAGATGTGTGAGCAGCAACGAGATCCACATGAGTAATGTAACTGTCACGTTCCATGATACTACCATCCAGGCATACCTTTCAAACAACACCTTCAGCAAGGAAGGTAAGACACTGCTCTTGGCCCTAATGCCATTAGTCTTAACTCCAGTCGTTGCAGAAGTGGCTTTGTGTCCTGGTGCCTGAGGGAATTGTGTATGAATGATCATCTGTATAGCTGCGGACAGAACCAGCAGCTTCCATCTTAGGAGAACGCTCCACCAAACCTTTTTTTCTCTTTAGAGATGACCTCTTTAGATTAGGATGAACAAATATTAATTTAAAAAGGGTAAAAGGGCAATCCAATTGAAACCCTCAATGTGTCTTCCCTTGCTAGAGCTAATGGGGTAAGAGTCACAGGATCTCTTCCAATTCAAACAAGCTGTCTTTATCTAATCTTGCCTCAGTCCAGCTCAGGCAGGCTCAGGGGCAGGTGGTGGAAGGACCAGGAGTCCCTTTCTGAGGGAGTCATGACCCGCCCCGCCCCCCGGGGAGGCACCTGCTAACACATCTCTTCTGGTGGGCTCTGGAGTCCAATAGGCAGGGCTCCAAGCCCCTCCCCAGCTCCATGGTCGTAGGTAAGATAGTCAGCCTCTCATATCCTTCCCTTGTAAAATAAGGATAATAATCTTTCTTAGAAGGTGGTTAGGATTAAAAAGAAAATTTATGCAAAGTGCTTATCTCAGTGCCTGGCAGAGTAAATAGTGAATAGTGCTGTCATTTTACTAGGACTTAAGAAAATTCTCTTTCTCAACTCCCACCAGTCAACTCACAGATCACTATCATTTTCCTGAAGGATGAGGAGTTGATTGCTTTGGGGAATTCATCTCCACCTCCTAGAGGATGTGTTAAAGGCCACCTCTTTCTAGCCTTTAGACCTACCTCTGGTGGGCCTTTGATTTGCAGTGTTTCCCAGCAGTCTTGCTTAAAAACTGAGAGTGATTGTTGAAGGGTGGCTAATTTCCGCAGTCCACAAACTAATCGGCACGACAAACCAGTCAGCTCTTTGTGCAGCTTGTTATAGCCCTCAGAGATGTGGGTGCTCCTAGTAGGGCTGGCACGCTGGCCCTGCTGGCCTGGTCCAATCTACCCCTGGTTTCTGGATAGTCAGTAAGCTAAGAATGGTTTTTATGCTTATAAATTCAAGGTAAAAAAATCAAAAGAATGTTTTATGACACAGAAAATTCTTTGGAATTCAAGTTTCAGTGCCCATAATGAAAGTGTTATTGGATCACAGCCATAATCGTTCACTCACCTATTTCTGTGGCTCCTTTCATGATCATAGTGACAGAGCTGAGTTGGGACAGACACCAGACAACACAAAGTCTAAAATGTTTACCATCTGGCCCTTTACAGAGGAAATTTGCTGACTCATGACCTGATGGGAACAGTGGTAGTGACAGAGCTAGGACTAAAAGCAAGTGTAACTGGGAGGAATGGGACGAGTGTTTACACAGCGAGAAGCCACAAGTGTGCAAGGCTTGAAGGTGTGAAGGTCAGCGTGAGCTGCAGCTGTAGGGGATTCTGAAGGACCCCGGGCCTAGAGGACTGGGTGAGCATGTGCCTTCACCAGGAAGGGCTGACTGAATGCGAGGAACTGTCCCATGGGGCTGGTGTGAGCAGCGTTTGAGGGTAGCAGCAGGGCCGGGTGTATGCACACTCTAACATGCACCTCATTAGGCAGATAGATGAAAGGTGACTTTAGTCAGGCACAGTATCTAACTGAGTGGAGGTTGGAGCAACAAGCTAAATACTTAAGTTACTGGTGTTCCCAATTACAAATCTCCAACAAGCTGGGTTTCATACCTAGCAGAATATATCTGGGTTGCATCAGCCTTCTCATTCAGGTCTCAAGAGCAGAAGGAAATACACAAACTGTCAGAGGTCTTGCGGAATGAAACCACCTCTGACTTACTGGCTCAGCGCAGTGACCTCACTCTAACCGGGCCTGAATGTGGGCATAGAATACAGCGCCTCACCTTTACATCTGGTTTCTTTCTGCTTTGAAGGCTCTGAACACAGAGATGGGCTGGCCTCCCTGTCTGGGCTCCTCGAATGGGGTGGTGCTTTGAAGTGAGATGCCATGCTGCCGGATTCACGAGGGCACTGGAGCCCTGTGAAAAGGGCTACTGTTTGTTGTCTAAAAACAGATGTGACCATAGAGAGACCAGTTTTGTTTTTAGGTTAATTAATTAATTTGTTTTTTAAATAGACTATTTTTTAGAGCAGATTTAGGTTCACAGAAAAATTGAATGTAAATTACAGAGATTTCGCACATATCCCCTATTCCCACACATCCACAGTCTCCTCACTGCCAACATCATCCCGCATTTTAATTACTTTCCTAATGGAGGACATATGCAGGTGATTCCAAATGGAAAAGGTACAGGCGTGAGATTGTCCACACACCTGAGCCTGAGCTAATAGCCCTTTTCCCAGAGGCATGTTCATGTCTCACATAGGGTTACTTGGGGCTTTGATCTTCCAACCTGGGGAAGTCGCTGGTTATTTGGCACTCATGGGTGCCACCCTCTCTGCTCAATCAAGTAGTTCATCAGAAGTTTCATTGCGGGCCGGCTGAGTGGCGCGATGGTTAAGAACTGACTTGGGACGCCAGAGGGCCCCGGTTCGGATCCCACATATGAGGGCCACTGACACTGCCCTCCACAGCTAAGATGCTGAACAACAGCTCAACCTGGAGCTGGGCTGCTGTGAGTCGCCGGTGACGGCGTAGGCTGCAGCCCCTGTGGCAGTGGGTTGCCATGGGCTACTGTGTGTATCCAGCAGCCAGCGTGAGCGGCTGGCAGCCGCAGTGAGCGGCCGTCCAGAAGCCGGAGAGTGATGTGCCTCGCCAGGGAAGAGTGCAATGATGGTGCCAACTTGGGCCAGTGAAGCAATGTCCTCCACAACTAGACTGAAGAACAAAACAACAGCAACTTGTCTGTTCCCCTTCCCCCAAGTCCCCAGCACTGTTCCCATCCCCCAATTCCCCAATAAAAATCTTAAAAAAAAAAAATAAAAAAGTTTCATTGCTGAGCTCACCCTCACTGAGGGACGGGTCTAAGACACTACCCTCCTCCCCATGTTGCGTAATTGTCCGCTTTCTTCAAAGCTTGGTTCAGTTTTGTTAAATCTGTCTGCACCGATATGTATGTATTTCAGATAGGAAACTTTGGTGCTTTTTCAAACACACTAGAACACTCTTAGTAAATTCTACTGAGAAGAGGAGGGTTAAGAGTCTTCCTGAAGTTACATGGAATATTCTGTAGAAGTTGAAGTATCCTCCTCCCATCATAGGCCGGAAGGTGAAGTTACGGGCACACCTGGAAAGGAAGGTGTCCCCAAGAGACTTGTGGAACTCATGTCACTATCAAGTCACGTTGTCTACAGTAATCCCTTATCAGTCTAGTGCTAAGAAATAGGAAAGTCAGCAAAAAAACAAACCAAACCACCCACCTTAACCTGGCAGGGGCCCTTTCAAGGCTCCTTTGCTCACTCTTTTGCCTCTTTTGAAAGCTGCTCCTGCCCCACCTCTCTCACAACCGCGACTTGTTTGACACACTGTTGTATGGGATTTGGTCCTCCATTGGCCTGGGTCCTAGGACCAGCAGGCAGCTGCTTAGAGTGCAGGTGCTGGGGAAAACAGTTGAGGCCTCTGGATCTCTAGTAAGAGCTGACACCCCATAAAACAGAATACAATAATTGCTAACATGATCTGAGTCTTTTTTTAAAATTTTCCAATTACAGTTGACATACAATATTATATTAGTTTCAGGTGTACAACAAAGTGATTAGACATTTATTTACCTTACAAAGTTGATCTGAATTGTTTTTTAAAGCTCAACTGTGTTAGCATGTTCTACAGTTACTCAGCTTGTCATGAACCTGACTCAGAGCCTGTTCCTTGGAGAGCCTAGCTAGCCGGCATGTCATTATACCACTTTTTTTCTACTCTGGATGCCTTGTTAGGTGCTTTCTGACAATGGCTGATATTAACGTTACTTTGGAATACAGGGACTGCTATTTTCCCTAGAAGTAGGAGATTTGGCATACCTGACCACATACAAGTATACTACCATGACAGCATAAATTGCTTAAAAATTGAGCAATTTCTATGAAAATTGAGCCATTTCTTTTTTATCTCCTTTCATGCTAATGTCACTCCTTTAGTTCTTGGATACTTTTTTATACTCATTTTTTCTTGTCAGCCAAATTGAAAGCTGCTTCAGGGAAAAGAGCGCATATGAAATATGTTAAGTATATTTTTATAGCCCTCTAGACTGTTCTACTCATGGATTTTTTTTTTTTTTTAAGATTTTATTGGGGAATTGGGGGAGGAGAACAGTATTAGGGAATCGGGGAAGGGAAACAGACAAGTTGCTGTCCTTGTGTTCTTCAGTCTAGTTGTGGAGGACGTCGCTTCACTGGCCCATGTTGGTATTATCAGCGAGCTCTTCCCGGGAGAGGCAGTTGCTCGCCGGCCATTGGACGGCGGCTCACAGCGGCCTATGGCAGCTCATGAAAGCTCACGCCTGCTGCCAGCCAGCCCACTGCAGTCTACACCGTCGCCGGCAACTCATGGCAGCCCAGATCCAGGTGGAGCTCTTATTCACCATCATAGCTGTAGAGGGCGCAGCATCACTGACCCTCGTGTGGGATCCGAACCCCGGAGCCCTGCTGCTCAGAGCTGACGTCCCAAGCCAACTCCTAACCAATGCACCCCTCGGCTGGCCCCTACTCATGGATTCTTAATTGTTGAATGAACACATTTGCAATAAGTCAGTAAATTTTTGGTCATAAAAGCTTGTTTAAAGTTTTTATTTAATGAACTGCAGATTCAGGATATTAGAGTCAGTCAGGATATTAGAGTAGGCTTCTGTGGCCTTATCAGTAGTAGTGGCCTTGACCAGAAAGCCCTCATTCATCATGCCTTTACATATATATTGTCCTATCTAAGAAGCTTCAGGTACTTACAGATTTTATAAGGAAGTAAAAGCACAAGCCAGGGCTACACTGACTTTTCTTTTCTGTCAGTCTTGTTGATGAAGATAAGTTCTAAAGAAACCAGGTATCGTCTTTCCAGAAGGTCTGTAAAAGTAGGATAGATGGTTATCATTCAGGAATGGTCTGAATATAGCTCTGCCTGGAGGCTAGAGAAAACTAGGTGAGTGAGTCTCACTCTTGTGTCCATCAGAATTAGATTTCCAGCCCCAGGCCCACATTGGGTTAGTGGGTTTGGGGTGAGGCCCATACAGGCATCCGGGTTTAATGTCTCACCAGAGGTTTGGATTATTCATCTCTTTGTAAGATTTGATACATGGGTACTTATCAACTCTTCTATGACCATTAGAAGTTTAGAATACAGACTACTCTTAAATATAGTTCATCATAAATCTCACTTTCTACCCAATTTGGCAGTATTTTTCATTCCTTAGGAACCAGTCTCCCTCTTAGTCGAGCTTAAATTGAAGAAATTGATGCCAAAAATCTTTCCATTTGAGACTCCTTAATTGCAACATGCAGGTTTATTAGAATATCTGCTGCTGCCTGGGAATTGTTTGGGCATATAAGGTTTTAGAAATCATGAGAAGAGCATCTGGAAGGATGTGTAGTCCTGAACCCTCCTCTCCCATTATTTCCTTTGTGGTGAAGACTGAGGGTGACCCAACAGCAACCCTTGGGTCCCCTAATCTTTCCAGAGGCCTTCCCGCAGGTGGCATTTAGCGTTCTTTGGTGCATTTTATTTGTGATTATCTCCTTACGGATTGTGAGCCTTCTGCAGGAAGGACTCTGGTATTTGTAGTAGGTGACAGACTGGTTAGAGAGTGGATTTTGCATTTATAATTAAGGTAGAATGGAGAGGGCATTTTATCCATAGAGATTTCTAAAGTACTGTATTTTTCTGCCTAGAGGTTAGACCTAATGATGTGTTATTCATGTTTCCAAGCTGACATTTTGTAACCTGCTTTATGAAAACAATGAATGACTGTCATATCAGGCAGTGTGTGTTACTTTCCCCCATAAGTGGTGTGGCCATCTAGACCAGAATTTGGAAATTGGCTGTTCCCCCCGCCCCTTTTTTTAATGTGGTTTTGCACTTTAATTACGTTGTGTTCTGGAACAATTTATAAAGTAATGGTAAAGCTATTTTTTTTTTAAGTACAACTATAACATCAGCCTGTAGCCTAGCTCAGGGTAAAAAACAGACAGTGTTGGCCAGCACACCCTAGATGATACTTCTACAGCAGTATTTGCCCTACCACCCCTTAGCCCAAGGTTAAATTCATTTCTGGGGGTAATTTTTTTGTTTGTTTACCATCTACCCTGTCTAGAAAGGCATTTTATTCTGTAATATCACATTGTGTGTAGGCATGCTGGGTGAATTGAACTTGCAGAAAGTTTGTTAAATATTCCCGTGTGTTATAGTTCTGTGGGGAGAAGTTTCCGGTCTCCCCCAACTAGATGGGATGTGGAGGAGAAGAGGAATCGGCAACTGAAAAAGAGTTACTGTGCAAGTTTCTTTGTAGCTTAGAATAAGTGGAAAGAGGTAGTGGGTAAAGTTACACACAACAAACTCCTGATTGGTTCCCACGATGGATATTGTCGCCAGCTTCCCATGGCTCAGCCTAGCTCAGCGGTTCTCAACCTTCCTAATGCCGGACCCCTTAATACAGTTCCTCATGTTGTTGTGACCCCCAACCATAAAATTATTTTTGTTGCTACTCTATAACTGTAATTTTGCTACT